ACCTTTGGTCTATTGAGATTTAAACAAACATCTAAACAAAGAAGTCAAGGTATCCTTGCTACAATCTTGACTACACTTAGCCGGTAAATTCCGGTAATACACACAATGTTGTTTTACTGTAATTCCATATTGTGTTATCACGTTCAAACGTTTATTACAAATGAATGGACGGCTGAACAATTCAATTACAAATGTAAGGTCACGTCGATAAAATCGCATAGATGTGTATGCAATTCGTTTGATGGCATTGCGACAATCGCCCATGATTGGTGCTTATAAGTCGTAAAATATGCTATGCGCTCGTAAAGGCAAATATAAACGTAACAAGTAACAATGTTTGCAATCAACAATTCTACCAAGATATAGGATTAGAATTATAGAATAGATAATAAAAACCACAACCGTGAATTTATTTTGATAAAATATTAGCTTATGTTTCCGAAACAAGCACACAAGTGTTTTTAGATCCTTTTGTTTTGGAGAACCGCGTGTAACTGCCTAACTGTAAACACGTAAAATTCAGTTACGTTTTTTTCATCGCAGCGTTTTGACATGTGTGACTTATATTCCGCCACAATGTCCCATTGTTGTATATTTGTTCATCAACAAAAATAATTCAGCCGTGTTAGCTTTTATGCTTGATATTTTTACAATATTATGCGTCCAGGCGGAAGGGGAGAGTCAGTAATTGGCGACTGACAATGGAGATTACCAGCTTAGGGACAAGTTTTGTGATTCAAATATTTCGTCTGGCCGTGGGCGACAATATTGGGCCCTGTTATGATAATCGTCTTGCCATACAGACGGCGCATCAATGTAAACACTCGTATGTACTTTGAATAGGTGTGAATTTTCAACAGATATACAGTCTGATGTGCTGATGACTGTACCAAGGAATCGTTTCGCTACGCGCCCGCAAACGACGAGTTAGCCTTAGCGACGAATAACATCGTATGTCCATTTGCGATAATTGATATGCATAATATATTATTAAACTTATAGGCCACTATAATGCGTACATTGTTATGTCTGTTTAATTATCTCTATCGTAATCTAAACTTTAATGACTTTAACTTCCATTTTAGTGCCGTAGAGGTCATTCGGGTTAAATATAATATCATTGTCATTTGATAAACGAGTATGAAATTTCAAACGACTCCTTTTGGTACTAACAAGTTACGATGTACGTGCCAATCAGTAATAATTTGCATTGACGGTGCCAATCTTATTATTGTCATTATCAGACAAACATTGAATCATTATATCGCGCTATTTTGCGTCTGGTTAACGTCATACGTGAAGTTATTTTATTTTTTGTATTATTATACTTATAATTATTATCTTATTAGTACATATTTTCAATAGTATAAGTCAGTGATGTCAATAAACAGTCCGTAAGAGTCTGCTAACTCCGCTAAGTCGCCCGCTTGACTCTTAATAGCGGCAACAGGCGGTCGTCGCTCTAGTGATGTTCGATACATCGATGTTTTGGTCATCACATAATTTTGTAATTATGTATGGATGCAAGTGTTTAAGCTTTACTGCTAAGTTTGATAAAGTTTATCTTAATTCCTAATTGTGTTTATTCATGATTGATAACTAAATGTGATGTTTTAGTTATTTATTTCATCTTTAGATAGATTTGCTTACCTATTCTTTTTACATCAATTGGACTTTTAACGATTCTGACGTCTTAAATTTAGTTTTTGAATATTGATTTCTGTTTGTGATTGCGATTTAATTTCCAATACTTATTTCGGTTCCGTATCGGAATTTGCGACTTTATGAACGGCTTCTAAACGAAGTTTGCAACTTCTATCGATAACTTATCGATGGTCAAGCCGTGCATCCTTAGCTCGCATCAATCTTCCCGATCGTCACTGTCGGGCCGGTCTCGCCCCCCTCGATTAATCACCCGAGCGTTTTCGATTAGCGCCGCATAGCGCGAAAAAACACAATTATTAACGATGGCCTTCATTTGTTTTATTGGCCGCGGCAGATGAAGGGTTAAGTTTTAAGGTAGAGACACATTTTTGTGTGAAAGAGAGCGCTTACACTCTTGAAATTGTCTTACAATTTTGTGTATTTCATTGATTTGAGCCTTCTTTTATACCTACACAGTTATAAAAGAAACTACTTTGTCCGAATGTTATCAGAAAATTGTATAATGATGTCACATCACATAATCTTGTACCTTGTTGATGCCTTTATAAACTGAATCTTCTAAAGTGCATACTTCGTCATAATCGTCATGAATATTCACAAAGTGTAATACGTTATTTTCGCACGCCCTGACCCGAATGCGTCCATTACTATGCCTTTAATGAGCTGTGTACAAATATATTAGACGGAAACAGGAAGTGTCAAATGGCGTTTCGATGTCTGCCCACGGCCCAGTTCTTAGCGCTAAGTGCCCCGATGTAATTGTTCGGGCAATGCAAATAAGATGGTGTTTGATCGTGTGTATACCGCCTTGTCGTCGCGGCTTGGGACAGTTTTGTGCTCTGTGTGGACAGGGCTAGCACTAGCGGCAGGTCAAGGGTTAAGTCCGAAAAATATACGAGACTTTCATTTTAAAAGTGGAGAACTTCTTACGCTAATATTTATTTAGGTAACGCCAGTCGACATTTTCATTTTCATTTCAGCTTTTTCTCAGTTTTACAATGTTTATTTATTACCCGACTACGTTTTAATCTTCAGTTTTGCTTATGCTCTGTGAGGACAGGGTTAGCAGGCAAATCAAGGGTTAAGAACTGGAAAAAATATCCTTTATTAACGACTTTCAATTTAAAAGTTCCCTTAAGCTTACGCTAATATTTATCTAGGTGACGGTAGTCGACATTGTCATTACAGCTTTTTCAGTTAGTTTTACAGTGTTTATTTATTTTAATCTTTGTACAAAAAGTTCCAAAAGTAGAGAAAACTAAATAATTAAAGCAGGGTGTGCTTGTTGGCCAATTAAGTTTTCCTCATTTAATGTATGGTTCACGATCAGAAACTTTTTGTCGACAACACGATTGTCGATTGTTTATTTATACTTGACAACCCTATTTCTACGTGATTGTTTAAACTTAACGGGCCAAAGTTTGCGTTGTAAGAATCAGACTGTTGTGGCCAGAACGGTCTTAATTTTTGATCGTATACACATTCTTGACACCAAATGTTTGTTCTGGTAATTTTACCACGAAGAGTATGAACGGCGCCTTATAGGGACGACACCACCAATGACTTTTTTGTAAATTAATGTGAATTTGTACATGTTTTGCGTAAAGAAACAGAATTATGAGGTCACAGTTTCCGGAGGAAAAAATAAGTATAAGTTAAACTTCATGCCTATTTTTGGATTATAAAATAGAATATTATATTTCCACTAGCTTATGCCCGCGGCTTCACCCGCGTGAAATTTAGTTTGTCACAGATCGTCGTAAATTATAGCCTATATGTTATTCTGGGTTATAAACAATAAAACTGTAAAGTTTCATCAAAATCCGTTTAGTAGTTTTTGCGTGAAAGAGTAACAAACATCCACACAAACTTTCGCATTTATAATATTAGGAGGATAATTCAAGTCGAGGTCAAGTAGACTTTGACACATTCTAAGTTTAGCATCGTTGTATTATAAACTTTACATAGACTTTAATTTGCGGGGTTAAAGGCTAAACTTATAAATTCACTAACAATTCACAATTGGAAACAATTATAAATTATATTTAGCGATGTTTTGCATTTACAAGAATAATAAACGCAACCTATTTTGGGGTCAACCTACGATATTTTGCTTAGTTCGCCAATAAAATAACAATGTTTCGAGACCGCCTACCGCCCACTGAAGTCGAGGCAATCAAGCGTTTCTCTTATCTCCAGCGATAGACGCGTTATCGTGCGTTCTACACGCTTGCCGGATATCGGAGCAATTAGGTCTCGCAATAACGTGTCTCTGCGGGGTGTATTGGTATTTAAATTGAAGGTAGCATTCGCATTTTTTACTAAAAACGATCAGAAACAGTGTTCTTATCAATTTGATTAATTTTTGGTCATAATCTTTGGGTAAAGTCTGACTTTGAAATTATGTGACACTGTTTGGTTATTTAAAAAGAAACAGAAACATTAAAATGTACACACTTACTTGCTTGATAAACACCAATATCGATAGCTCAATATCTCACAATAAACAAATCGCCCTAACCATGCAACATTAATCCAACTTCAAATCTTTTAAAATACAGGTAAACTCACAAGTCCAATGAAGTAAGTAACGTTGAAATTGAATACAAAGTAGTTTGGACTAACTTAAACGGTAAAATCGACCCCTAAACTTGAATGTAAAGACAAAGTGTCTCTTGTCATCATTATGCAGTTGACAGTGCATGACTAGTATGAGAATATTTTATTATTCACGTAAATTATTAATGCAATTTCTATGTTGCGCCACGGAAATGCGGGCGCACGTGGTCACCGCCGTTAGAAGTTGTTGGGCTGAATGCTAATATGTTTATTACATTTAATTGCACATTTTAAGTGTAACTGTGAGAATTGTCTTAATAATAGACGGATAGGTAAATTCTTAATGCGAGGCGATTCTAGACTCCGTGGAAAATGTTATGTTATGCCTTATCTTTAAATTTAAGTTGCTGCTATAATATATCAATTCGCACAAATGGTTTAGGAAATTGAATACAGTTTGAGCAGTTTCGTATACGAATTAGACTAACTTCTAATACATAGTTAAAATAAGCCTCTTGCTTGTTTCTTGCGTGCCGAATTAGAAAGGTTATGAGAGTAAAAGAGAGTAACCGAGTTAACTCTTTGTACCTAACTACACGTTACGTTTTGCAGAAGCAAGCAAATCTTATCTATTACAGACGAAATTTTCCATTTTCTTTACACTTTAACAGTTTGGTAAAGCTTCCAGAGTTATTGACAGAAGTTTAAAAAAGTCACTAACTACTTCTAATTGAACTACAGACTAGAAGATTAACGTTGAACGTCTTTTGTTACAGTTATACGAGATCAGCGACGACCCACAAAGGAAGGAATTCCTCGACGATCTGTTCTCGTTCATGCAAAAGCGAGGTAAGTCCATTTTCCCACAATTCGGTGCATCGACCATGTTTTGATTAATCTGTACCGATTGATATTTCTTGTAATTTATCATAACCAAATGCCCCATTCACGATCATCGATCGAATGATATTAAACCACCAGCTTAGAAAGATCCTATTCAAGTTTAGATTAGTTTACAAAGAGAGGTCTAAGGTTATTTGATGGTTGATACCAATCGGATATAAGTTAAATCAGTCATTGACTGTATAAACGATTTTATATTGTGTAGATGCTTGATAAGATCATGAGTGATTGACGACTTCGGTAAGTCATAAATAGACTATGGGCTTTTAATGAGAGTTAAAAGTTCAATCACGTTAAAATTACATTTGAAACATTATATTTTATTCAGATTATTATAGCAAATATAGAAAAGAACAGAAGAATAATTTTACTGAGTAAAACTTTTAAATTCGATAATTTGATAAATCTAAAATTTCACCGACAATGAATGTTGCAATAAGTAATTAATCCTTAGATAGACAATATTAATTATGATTGCGCTTCATACGTGTGGGAATTTGCCATATGGACCCTATACGTAAAGATAATGATTATAATTTTAAATATCATAATAGAAATAATTAAGCAGGAGATCGTTCGATCGCCCCGAGCGTTGAGATCTTGCGCGGGCGCTTGATTGATAACCACCTAGCCGTCTTTTTTGCGCCTGCGCTTCGCTGCATCTTTCTATCTCTGTCTCGCATTAATTGATCTCCGTTGTAAATGGCGCCATCATTGTCGCTAGATAGATCATGTTGATATCCGACCGCCTTGTTGTTAGTCAAATCAATAGTTATTGTTGAGAAGTAATTAATAGCTGGTTAGTTATCATGCTTAGGGTGTAGGTTTCTCTTTTGTATGCATTTTTGTTTACATTAGTTCTAATCCCACTACTGAATTTATTACAACTGTAACGTAGACATTCTCTTTATTAGGTACATGTTAAATTGTTTCCTTAGTAAAGTTTCCCTTGGTTTAAATAAGCTCCACGAGAAAAAAGCTTGATAATTGAAGTATTGTCAGCTGTTGTGATATGCTGACAAGATTTGCGTTTATTAAACCAATTAACAATAAAAACTTCCCTGGTGAATAAACTGTTTACATTTCTTGATGACCTCACCCACAGACGGCAGGGGGTTAGATCCATAACAATTTTTCTACGTTCATTCATAATTTCCACGTCATTCATGTATAAATCATCATTCCATTAAATTCTTCTCTAATTTATGTCGACGACCTCTTCACGTCAACGTTACAGAAAACTAGTGCCAGGAATAGTAAAATAACCCATTCAATTAGGCAGATGTCGTGGTCAGGTGTGTACTTCTGCTTCTTTTGCTTATTTATGATCTGTAATGCTAACTTGAACGTGGGTGTCTGACGTCTACAGATGCTATCCGGCTTGTAATTATGTTTTTGACAAATTGGCGATAAGCGGCCATTTTGAGGTTTAAATGCACTGTTTAGAATTGAGTTTTGACAGTCGACTTGATTCTGTAATTGTTCCTAAATGCACTTACAAAATTCAAACTGCAGTTTGAATAATAATCTGCCAAATATTATCGACTTCAGCTCTTCTAAAAGGATTTTCTTTGTAAATAAGCATGCAATCTTCTCAGTATTAAAAGCAGTTGTTGCCGGAAAATACAGTCAAGTTTATTAACAATGAATGGTGCTGACACTAACCGATAAAAATCAATGTTGTAAGGACCATAAGTCAAAAAGAAACAGTTTTGTTACGATACGTTGTAATGGGTACCCAACACGTTGAGAGTATCGTACTTTGCGATCGGACGCCTGCTTATCTGGTTCGAAATAAATTATTATTCAATTTATCATATCCGAACGTGCCCAATAAACTTCTGGTCGTTATTACGCGGAATACGATAACAGCAAAACTAATCGTTATTCGTATGATTTAATACGCGACTTTGATTATGCCTCGATTTATCATTTAATTTGAAAATCTTAAAAAAATGACTTGACACACTATGCGGTTGTGGCGCGTCATCCAAATTTTTCACGAACGCCATCATCGCCGTAGATATTTTACGTCGCGCCAGAGGGGCAAACATAAAACTTTTAATTAGTAGAATTAATTTATTCGAGTCAGGTTAATCTCATGAGCCGACATCACTCGGACTGATCTCTTCGTATTAATAATGTTTTATCATTTATTATTGCTCATGAGTAATGAAAGTTAGTCCGCCACGCCCCGCACCTTCTCAGCACTCTGTCTTCGTCTTAAAAAAATGAAATTAAAAATAAACTTTTTTCTTTTTTTACGAGTGGAGCGTTTAATCTGTGGTTTAATTTAATGCGAGCGACAAACGATTATGTAAATGTTGATTAAAGCGTATACCTAGCTTGGTGGGTGTTCCAGAATCGATTAGGTTTTTGCTGTGATATTAATCGATTGCATTTTGGATTACCGCTCTCGATTTTGCGTACATTTATTTTTGTATTGATTAATTAGTTGATATTAAAGACCTTAGGTAGTATAGAGCTTTATGACTTTTTAGGCATAGACTAAAAATACTCTATCTATGGATACCTAAAACCGTTTTCTCTCAGAAAGGTCTTAAATACTTTGATTTGCATATCAGAATCGCAAATAAGGATGCCCTCTCGCTAATCTTAAAATCTTATCGATAAAATTTGTTGGCGATAAAGTAAACAGGATAAAGGTGGTCGTTTAGGGCCGATGCGTGTAAACGAGGGTTGTCTATGGCCGGCTCGTTAGCGCTGATTGATCGGCCATCGGCCACCGGCGCTACAGGTTGATGTGCGAGTAATTGTGATCTCTTGGGATGATGTTAACGGGGATTAAACGATTGTCAGATTTTTAATGTAAATGCGAATTTAAAACCTTTGTCACTTTTCAGTGTGCTTAGGACGTACATAAATACGTCTGTTATTGGTTGAAAGTTTGAAATTACAGTACCCTTTAAAATTATACAATACCTAATAATTGAAATCAAAATCAGTGTCTTAAATTTTATCAATTTTCATGATAGAGCTAAAGAGATCCAGTGAAAAATCGACTAAAATTATGGTAATTTAAACAACTAATTTGTGCTAATCGCCAATAGAGGAAACGATGGTTTTATAATGCAATCAACATGTATAACCTTGGCTATTGTTTCACTTGTTAATAGGGAGTGGTATAACTAATAACATCTCATTCGGAATCATTTCCCGTGATTAATTATGTGTTTAATCGATATAAGATGTTGTGCCAACAGCCTTCTCCAGTTTCTCTCCAAAAACTACAATTGAAATTCAATCGTAAGCCCATGAGATTAAGATAGATTTTAGTTTAGATACGTGTTGATGATAGATTACGTTAAAGAGTTGATCTATCAAATTTTTTCCCCGTCTCATTGTAGATAGCCTTTGTTAAAGTTTAATTGGTGTCTTAACTCGTTCGTGGTTAATTCGATTCCTGTCCCGGGCTGAGCTTTAGTGATGAGCCTCGGGAACTTAAGAAATCCAGCACTGTTTTAAGAAATTGATGCCAGCTTTTGTACAAGCTATTTAATATTGCAATTACAATATTAAAAAAACACATACTATGTTGTCGTTTAAGCTTTTGAAGGTACCTACCTAAGTTTTTATTTAGATTTGGCGAAATTATACAAACTGAAAATCTCATTTTATACTTTATTCAAGTCTTGAGACGAAATAAAATCCTTTACTGGCTATGATCGTCCACTCGTATAGTTATTTCTAGTAAAAGTTTTCAGGGGAAAGACATAATCGACTTTTTATCGATATATCGACCCTTTGATTCTTTTCCCATCACTACCCGGCTCATTTGTTTTTGTCTGTTGCTTAGCAGACGCGTGTTAATCTAAAGTTGATTGATTAGAAGAGACTCCGATATTCTGGGCGGAGTCGCCATATTGCGTTCTGAATGTTTAATCGGCCAGGCTAATGATGCTTCTCTAATTATTTTGATGGCTGATACTTAGCCATTGTTATCTGATAATGTATAAAGATTACCATATTATTCTAATTACTAGCCATTATAAATGTTATTGGCGATAAAAGTAAAAAACAAAAACATTAGCATACTTAGTCTATTGATTGACACTTCATTTGGTAAATTGTGATTTACATAATAAACATAATGTCCTTGTTTGTCCTTATTTGTTCATGTTATGTATTAAGCCAGACATTAATAAGTGTGTGTTATTATGCCTAATTAAGATACTAATTATTTTTATTTATATTCCAAAATTACAATTTTAACTTTAAACAGATGTGACGTCACAAACTTAATTGAAATTACGTTTTGACAGATGAAAAAAGTATCTCAATTGACTGATCGTGTCAACATGATCTCAACCCTCGTGAATGTTTAAGTAACATCAAGGGTTCCGATATGCACTGCAAGCACTATACAGTGCTCCACATCCACCAGTGATGACCAGTGAGAGCACTGAGCAGTGATCAGTACTATATCGGAACATACCCCCAAGTCCTTAACATTCCTGACTGTATAAACGTTTAAATTCGTTTTGTTCGCATTATTGGCCCAAATAGTGACAAGCGCAGTGTCGCGCGTTTTAAATAACCAAAGATTGATGATGCGCACGATTGGAATAGGGCGAAGATTGATCGTACGTCACAACGGAATTCCGTTTGCCGGTATTGTCTTTGTTATTAATTAAAAGTGTGAAGTAGTAATAATAACTATTAACTACGGGCCAATTTTGGTCGATAGTCTCTGAAATTATGTTATTTGATCAATGCAATCAATATCCTTTTATTATTTAAATATTATTTTATTATAATTTAGCTTATCATTCACGATTAATTTCAAAAAGTTTTTAAATTGTCGAATAGAAACAAAAAATCAACATTTATTTCTTTTCAGTTACAACAAGGCAATTTAGGTAAGCTAAGTTTCAGCCAAATCTTATTTAACGAATGCCTATTTTTATTTTAAGGGCTGAAAAGTA